CTCTGTGCACTGGACCCCTTGTTTGGCCCATCGATGTAGTAAAATTCTTCGTTCTGGTTTGCAAAATAATTCTCCAAATAACTTTCTCAGTCGACAAAACAAGTTGTTTTCCCATGTGGTTTCCGAGCATTAAAAATAAGTGGAAATCCTATGGAGCTAGATCCGGTAACCATGGAGAAGAGGTTACCAATTCAAAGCTGCACTGTGAGACATCGAAACTGTCGATGTGTGAGCTGAACAGCCGTAACGGAGTACAAATTTATTCATAAAATTCCCGGAATATTGATTTATTTAAAAAAAAATTTATTTGTTCATCGATACTGATATGGTCCCCTTCAAAGTAGTCTCCATCAGATATAATACAATTATGCCAGGGCTTTTTCAATCCTCAAAACACTTCTGAAACGTACTTTTCGATATTGCCTTCAGCTCGTTCAACGATTTTGCTTTTATTTTCCCTATGGTAGCCAAACATTGTTTTTTCATGGTTCTCTTCATTTTTAGGAATAGGAAAAAGAATAAGGTGACTGAGGCATCATTAGAGTGTTTTTTTTTTGACAGAAATTCACAAACAAGTAGTGAAGTATAGTGAGTGCTGAAAGCTATAGCAAAAAGTGCATTTCGAATGTGTTTTGAGATTTGGAAAAAACGTCGGCATATAGGGGAAAGGTGTCTAAAACGATCCCTCGGGGTAAAATGATTCCTGGATGCCCTGTGGTTATTAGTGGTGCTATATCGTAATGTCGTTCTACAATAGTTCTCCCCGCACGTCATTAGTCGGTGCTCGAAGTGCCATGTGAATATCAGTGCTCTGTGTGTTGTCCACAAGAAAAATTAAAAATAACTGCGATTTATCTAAGATAAGGTCGTTTTCAATATTGTGTAACTTTTGTCATAAACGGTTTAATGTGACAACTGCTTCTTGCGCGGATTTAACCACAATTCAATAATAAGTTAATTAATGTTTCGTTACCGCATGTAACAAATTGAGGTTATATTCAACCACTGAATGTGAGTTGGTTGTTTGGGGTCATATCATTCCTCCCTAGTAGGGTTGATATGACCCCAAACAACCAATTCTGTATGATCCTTACTTATGCCTTCAAAAAAATGTGAATAAAAAATATAATTGATCAGGTAGCAAAACTTTATTTAAGCCAATGATAAGATAGATAGACTAACTTACAAAAACTACTTTACTTTTATTTAAATAATGAGCATTTGTATCTTTTATATAAATTATGCCTTAAAGGGATCGTTTTAGACACCTTTCCCCTATGTGTTGATGGAGGACTACACTTTGAAGGGGACCATATCAATATTGATGAATAAATAAATATTTTCTGAAATAAATAAATACTCCAGGAACTTTTTCATTAAACCTCATATTTTACAGACCAAAACGTGAAATTTTGCCGGATGGTGATTATGGCATTATGACATCGATAGACCAAGTGTAGAGACTTGAAAGGGAACTATGTTGAAACATAACGTAAAAACAAATTCTTAATATACCTACTTCTTTTGTGTTAGGTCGTAAAGTTTTGAGTCTACTTTCGTATGAGTGCGAAAAGATGGTGTCTCTTTTGCAGACGATACGCTGAAAGCTCTGAACGCGAGAGGCGTGTCGATGAATGTATCGATGCCAGGTCGATGGCTGATTAATTCCATTCGGAATATGTAATCCATTGAATTCGTTCAAGATGTTCTACTTCGATTCCTCTGTGCACTGAGACCAATGTCGACGTTACAGATAGTTGAAAAAAGTGGCATTCAAACAAATTTCTTGTTCTTTTTACGTGTTTCAACGTACTTAGAAAAGTAGCAATTTTTCACGACACTTACTGCTATCAGCGTTTGTTATAATTAGACCGCTCATATTTATGCAGACATTCATTTTCATCGGCTATTTTAGGAATAGCATAAAATATTGGGTCGAGTCATAAGTAATTGCCGTTCTTTGGAAACAATTCTATTACTTTTCTAAACAAGTTACAAAATAACTTCATTTAAAACGTATTCCGCATTCCATTACATATTAAGGGTAAATTGACGAATTTGGATCATCGCCAAGGTTTGACCACTACGGTAACTTCTTATGTGTAAGCAATATTTGTATGATAGTGGTGATTCCATTAACTAACTTAGTACATAAGCAACATATATTGCCTATTATACGGCGCAAATTGCTTACACATGACAAGTTACAGTAGTGGTCCAACCATAGGCGATGGTTCAAATTCGGCTACCTTTCCCTAAGTACAACTTTTTCCCATTTATTTGGCAGTTTGTCAATCCCTGAAGCAAAAATGTTAGGTAGTTTTGACAAGAAAAATGTGTCGATGAATTCCCGTATCTTACGTACTTAGGGACAAACCGTAACTAATTTTTTTATCATTCCGAATGTATTAGTAACCTTGATAATGGAATTGTATTAGAGATCAATTAGTCAAATACTAAAGCAATATACGTATATATACATAAATAAGTGAGAAATGCGTTGAATTGAATATTAAAGGTATTGCTAGGCAACATGTATGTAAATTATTAATCAATAATTGCGATTAAATCGAATGGAATTATGTGTGTTTCTTGAAACGTGACGTTTCTAAGAGTTTGTCACGTTTTGTTTTATATTTGTAAATAACTGAACTTCTTGTTGATATTAAATAAAAACTCCAACACCTGATATAGGTGGTTGATAAAAGCTGCTGGTTTTGGAATTTTTATGTGTAAAGCCTTAGTAACACAAGAACAATATTTTTATTTAACTGTCTGATGTCACATGACCGAATTTCATTTTTCATGCATTTTTTCGTGTTACTTTACTAATAAGCACTGAATCTCTAATTAACAAAATTAGGCGAGGTATGACAGTTTAGACGTTAAATATTCCAGTGACGCTATATGTATTACCAGAAATTTACATGTTCTCGACAGTCAATAGAGGAGTCAATAAATCATTTTGTATAAAAATCTGTTTAACTATACTAGGACATTGAATATTGTGTCACTCATATATGAGTGACGCAACTTGTAGACAATAGTTGACAAACAATTTTCATTTGTAAGCTGTTAAATAAACGAAATTTCGTTGTCACGCGTGACATTCACTGTGTCACAATCAGATGCTCGCCAGCAGCATTTTGTTTTGGAAACTAACGTCACAGATTACTGTGTTTATTTAACCGAATGTATCTTCTTTATGAAATATTAGGTATACCAATAAGTAATTCATTATGTTTGCCAAACAAAAGTTCAAGAACATATCTTTAATTTATGCTGTACGAATATTTTGTTAAAAAAATAGTGAAGTACATATTGATACATTTAATATGCACAAAAAAATGTAACGAAGTAGTATTATGCATTGTGATTATATAATAGCAATGCACATAAAAGTTGTATGACTTTTTGCACGCGAAAGACGTGGCTGTGATTATTACAAGTACGTGACGTGTAGCAGTGAACGTGTCAAAGAGTAAGTATGTAATAAGATAAACAAACTGGTGATTTTGCATATTTATAGCATGTACTCGACACGCAAGGTGCAATAATTTTGAAACTTCTGTAATGTATAGTAAATTTCAGATATCACACTACTCCCTCTCCCGAAAATTTCAGTTTGCTCAAACACCCATAGTGTATTGATAAGTCTTTGCGTAATTTGCTTTCCTTTTATTAAAAGAATGGCTGTAATTGTGTCATAATTGCAGTGATCTTGTTAAGAATCTTGGTAAACTCGTCATTTGTGAAAGAAAGTTGTTATTTCCAATATTAATTAGAAATTCGTATGTCTGTAATTTTAGAATAGACAGGGTTCATCCCTTTATATCCGTGGTATTGTTGCGATATGTAGGTATAAAAATTATTAAAATAATTCCACTATTGAAATAATATAACAAACGTAAGTTTATATTTTATCTTTCAATTTCGTAAAATCCTTTGCAATTTTTGGTGTTATATAATAAAACTTGTACAAGCATAAGCTTGTATTTATGTTTATGTCTATCTATAGAATAAATAAAATTATGACTTAACACATTTTTTCTATTAATTGGTTTTTCTTCAAGTTAGATACGGTGTAACAATCGTCGCTAGGTGTAGGGACAAAAGTAATAAAAGTTATTTTAAAGAAACTCTTATTTCACAAAACTGACGTAATATATTTCAATTTTTTGTTTGATTATGTTGTCTAATAATCAAAGTTTGTCACCGTGTAAGAATTTTTTCAAAATTTTACAAAATGTAAAAGTTACAGATTCAAAAAGACAAATTATTACGTTTGTTCCTGGTCTTACCTCGTTTCTAATCGTTTTACCATACGTGTTGAACTTTTGGTTCTCATGCATCGATTACACCGTTCAACAAAAACTTTTTTCAGATTTCTAACATTTCATAGACGTTTATTGAAGATTTTTGTGCCTTGAATACGAATCTACAAAGTTTTCTGCCAGCACTCTCAGTGTTTAAAAAAGTTTATTTTGAACAAACGTCTAATTTTCAAGTTTGAACATTTTCTGTGTTCGAACAGTAATAGTTATTCGGTTGATTGTTGCGTCAAACTATTTTATAAACTCTGCCGAATAAAATAGTATATGTAGTTATTGCATTATGAACATTTATACATGTTTAATCAACGATAAAAAAAGAAAGGACACCCGAAGCGCACCATTCGGTGCAGATATTTTTCACTTTATTTCAAAAAGTAAGGGTCTCGGAGAAAAGTTTTCATTTCTTTTCCAAATCAAATTTCTCGAAAACTGATGGCGCTGGCGAAAAACCAGTTGCAGATTCGTATTCAGGGCACAAAAATCTACAAGAAACGGCTACTGAATATTAGAAGTCCAGATGGCTGTTGACCAGTGTTATCCGAAAAACCGGTTTTCCGAACGGATTTGTCTGCCTACTAATTCCGCTAATCGTCGTTCCACTGTAATATTCAATTTACAAAATTTTCCACACGGTTTAAACAAGGTATACCAAAACTCTCCAAATACCTTCCCGTATTTGTCGCCTCCTCGCTGGCGGTGGGGCGCCGGTCCGCCGTCTCCTGGCGTAGGTGTGAACCGGTACGATCAGCCTCGGCCTCGGTATAAGGAATCCACCTTGATTATTGCCACTCTGATTCACCTCGGACTCGCTGTCGGTGGTGCCGGTGCTGCTCGATCTTCTCGACTCCGAGTCCTCTCTTGCGCTCGAGCTGACCCGGCTACCCTCCAGCACACCCTCCAGTTGAGAGATCACCTCCGCGTACGGTTGCCTGTACTTCTCTTCCTGCTCCCTGGTAACTTTGTTACGCCCGTTACTGGTCCAGTTCACTCCACACTCGCGCCAGCTGGCCTCATAAAGCAATTCCATGGCTCTACCTCGAGTTGCGTCCGGGTCCAAGAGCAATTCTGGGTCCTCTAGGACCGCTCGACCAGGATAGCTCCTAACTTTCATCTCTTTGGCTACCAACTGGAATCTGATCTTGCTAGGTACTATCCTTTAACCGTCGAATATCCAACAGTCAAGCAAAAGATACAATGTACTAGGTGTCAACCGTGAACATCCGCCATCGAACGGTGAACTGGAGCTACCGGTAGGCCTAGCCAGGTTAGCATGGAAAAGAGATTGTTGCTCAGAAGGGAACAATAGTCAGGATCGCTCGATCAGGATAGCTCCTGACTTTCATATCTTTAGCAACCAATTGTAACCTGATCTCGCTAGGTACTATCCTTTAGCCGTCGAATATCCAACAGTCAAGCAAAAGATACCATGTACTAGGTGTCAAACTGGAACATCCGCCATCGAACGGTGAACTGGAGCTACCGATAGGCCTAGCCAGGTTAGCATGGACAAAAGATTCTTGCTCAGAAGGGGACAATAGTCAGGATCGGTCGACCAGGATAGCTCCTGACTTTCATCTCTTTAGCTACCAATTGTAACCAGATCTCGCTAGGTACTATCCTTTAGCCGTCGAAGATCCAACAGTCTAGGAAAAGATACCATGCAATAGAGGTCAGAAGTGACCATTCGCCATCGAACGGTTAACTGGAGCTACCGGTAGGCCTAGCCAGGTTAGCATGGAAAAGAGATTGTTGCTCAGGGGGGGACAATAGCCAAGCGAACTTTCATCCAACGGGCCCGACCTTGGGCATGATTCATCGTAACTGGCCACTTTCTGCCACGTTTCTTCCACGCTTTTCACCAGTCACACATTACGCCGCACGCTTATTAATTGCACACCATACCCCGGCCCCGAGTCACGTTCACTCGTAATTCATCGGACACTCTCGTTTTTCACCGAGGGCCCGCTAGGACATACACCGTGGGAACGTGAAATTCGAGAACCCGCCGCGCGGATCTGGCATCCATCCAGCCAGAAGATCGATGGACACAGACACACTCTTTTCGTGCCGAAGACTGCTTCCGTCTGCGATCGGCGGCGTCGGGAGACTGTCCGCTCGGTTTAAATCTCGAGAGCGTGTTCGAGCTGTGAATCACGCCGACAAGCACGTGTGTTCCCCGGATTTTCGCGTTCGCGGTCTTTTCCCGTGAAATTCCTCGAGGATCCTCGTGTACACTTAGGAATTCTCAACGTGCATGCTTCAGAACTCTATCGTGTTTTTTCTTCTTTTCTCGACTGCAGAGTTAAATTCAGATTCTAGCAAAGAGAAAAATAAGTGATGCTCGCGGCTATTTTTAGACTCGCCCCGATTGGAAATCGTGATTCGCGGGTACTATTTCGATTCTTGGGTAATAAAAGACTCCGTTGATCACAGTTTGAACATCAAAAATCAATCTTTACTATCTAATAGAAGTTTTGTAACCCTTTATTGTATCCTGGATCCTTCGTGAACTCCGACTGAATTATCAGATTAACGATAATCCTGGGTGTCACATCTTCTTCGATACACTTTGCAAAAACTAAATGGTCCAGTTTGTTGATCTTCAAGTCCGAATTTGATTGTAGTGTAGTAGGTTGTAGTTTGGAGTAGCAGATCGATCGAACTCGGTCATAGTGAGAAAAGGGTATACAGTGGTGCTCTATGGAACAGTTAACAGCAGTTGATGAATGGTTATTGATCGATCGATCAATTACGCAACGAAAATCCAGCTGTCGAACAATCAGGTCCACGGGGTAGTTCCGTTTACACTCGCGTGTGTTTCCGTTCTGCCCGTAAAATAGTCAACGAGTCGGAATTTCTGGCCCTAAAAAGAGCGACGCGTGATCGAAGGGACACCGGACTCTCTCACAAAGGACAATGCCTGGATCCTGGCGTCGCGCAAACGAGGACACCACCAGGACCACTCCTTCGAGACTGACGCTCACTGACAGCGTTCACGACTGGTGAAAAGTACGCCCGCAAAGACCGTGCATGAGAAACTCCCTTCCTCGCCTACTGTCGATCCCCCACTATACCCGGTACTAGTGAGAGAAAGGACAGGGGCTCTCAACCGATCCTCTTGCGGTCGGCACAACCACTCCCACGTACAGATATACAGGGTGTCCGTGAATATAAGGGAACCGTCGCGCGAATGATTTTTGCCGTTCGACTCGTATATTATACAGTTATAAAGGTAAATATTTAATATTTGTTGCATACGCTATTTCTTATACTTCATATACAATCATATACTATCGTATACTATCGAATACTATTATATACTATTGTATACTGTTATGTATATATTATTTATTGCATTTGAAAGCTTAACACTTGGAGACTAGTAAGTTAGTACAGTACTCTGTAAATATATTTTCTGAATAATTTGATTATCTAACCATTGTGGGGTACAGACCGTTAAAGCAGGTGGCCCATAGCAATATGTCTAAAGTATTTTCTTCGTTACTGTATAAATAATTTAGTGATTGTGATTATTTATGGGTCGCTTGTGACCTGGGAATAGGACCGCGATGGTAAGTAACACAGTTTTATTAAAGAGTGCAAGTTAAATAAATAAGAGAATGTTAATGTATTGGGTTTAATGGGAGAAAAACTGAACTCTATATAGATTTTTGGAAAATTACTTGTTGATTTATTTATGGAGAATTTAACGATACAGTTTTATTATATATTATAAATTCTAGTGTAGAAAATGGGTGAATTTGTTTGGTTTAATAATGTAAAAGTAAGTTCTGAGTAGTAAGACTTGTAGATTTATTCTTGATTAGTTTAATGGTTTTAATAAATAGATAAACAATAGTATCGTGTTTAATAGAAGCAACAATTCATCATGCTGGTCGTTGTTGTTTATACGAAACTACATTATAAAACTGTTTTGCCTTTAGCACTTTCTTTCAATTACATTTATGTGTATATCTTAATTTATCTCATATTAAAATGTTTTTCATTATTTTCTTTCCTTTTCTGTAATGTAATTTGTAAATGCAGTAAGGTCCTCTTAGTGTTGTTTTTCATTTGTAGATTCAATGAATGAATTTTACTTTTATGTGTCTTAGAAAATAGTTCTTTTTGATTTTGTATAAGGTATTAATGTAATTCAGTTGAAGTTGTTTTGTTAGAATTACTGATAAAAACACCAAAATATTATGTCTTGGTCATTTGACATTTACGTTGGTACGCATTTACTTAACATTTTCAATGCAGGTTTACTTTAGAACTTTTATAGTTTTCTTTCCTGGCATTTTGATTTGTATTTACTATTAATAAAACGAAGTATTTATTATTAAGATCGACGTCTTTACTACCACATAAAACATTAATTAAAACACAGTACAAATAAAGGAGGATAACATACTGTATACAAAAATAAATATGATAAAATATCGTGAGAATGGAGCTTCAAAATGGTTTCCAAATTATCATTAAAGTTTAAAAAAAATTACGGATTTCCAAGTAATTATAACGTTGTATTCGAAACCTGTTCCACTGAGAAATAGATGTTGATAACAGGTATTCTTTTGCTACAATTTATTTCAGTGCTTATTCTAAATCATACGGAAATAGTATACCTTAATTGTGAGAACAAAATTGAGAGATATGTATTTAGCGAATGTCTGACAAGTACATAGTCTGAACATTATAAACAAAGTGGAGCAATCTCGAGATTTGTTTTTCATTTTTTTCGATTGATGCATCAACATCCGTATTCCTAATTTCATATTATTTACTTTATCACATAACTTTTCGCCTGCTGTTGAAGTTTTTCGAATTATTTTTCTGGAACACGATTGGTGATTGTGCAAACATATTACCAAACCATTTCGTTTAAAAGTTCCTTCTTTTTTTATTAAATTTAACATTACATTTTATTAGATACGTATCCAAATTTAATTTGAGAAATTCATTATTCAGAAAAAAATTAATACTTTTTTAATCCTTTTGCAAAATGTCTCAAATAAGGTCACAATTCCATACATATTTAAAAGTATACTTTTTCTAGTGCCAGGTCCTAAATATTTGGATGTAATAAAAATTAATTGTTCATTACTCTTACAATCTTTAAGGTTGAGTTGCTAATTAAAATTATTTTAGTATAAATAATAGGTCAAATTGTTAAATATGATGACATAATAAATTAAGAAAATAGTTCATTAATACATTATTAATTGTTACATAAAATATCTAGTAAACTTACTGTTTTCTAACAATGTTTGACGTTCAATTTGCTGTATGTACTTGTCTTCATTCGAACGACATACAAATGTTATTTTGTTAATTAAAAAATCAATCACATTAAAGTAAAAATGCGAGCGAAAAAAGTACAACGACTTAAACATTAAGCATTGCTAGGAAACAGTAAGACTATTAATTATTTAATGTAATAACTAATAATGTATTAAGCAACTATATTCTCAATTTATTATTAATTTCACCATATGTATGGATTTACACATTTATGCAGCACGGAAATGACCGAGTTTCCCTTATCGCCGGCAATACAAGACATTGGCAATGTTTAATGCGAAGCATCGTAACCTCGTTAATTCACACTTTCGTTTCTTCTCCCTTCTAAATTAATTCCAAACGATAAGATCTGCCTTAGTGTCTTTATTCTCCTATAACAGCTTTAAGCACTTGTTCATTGACGGCATAAATCCTCTTGAAAATCGATTCCCTTTCACTAATACACAATTTGTCATGCGTATTTATTTTGTGATTTGTAAGCTTAAACAATACTTATCTTAATTATAACAAAAAAAGATTTGTTAATTTCTTAGTTTTCAAAATATTAGATGTTTAAAAAACCTATGTAATCCACTATATTTTGCCAAATTTAATAGTAATTTTTTATAAAATCTAAAGTCTATGTTATATTAATAATATTCATTCGAGTTCTTCAATATTCTCTGACATTTATGAAAGAAAAAAGGTAAGAAGAAGTTTTATATTTAAACTATGTTACCAGTAGATTGTAAAAATAGTATATTATTAATCAGTATATTATTAAAATTTCTGTTATGTATGTATTAAAATCTGAAACATAAAATGGTTGTTAAATGGTCATTTAATTTATTCAAAATTGAATATTGTAACAGATAATCGGAATGAGACAAAAAAATAGACGTATATTATTACTACAT